ATTAGAATCTCTCCAAGGTCTAGTAACAACACTGTACCATGTAAATATTATACACCAGTACACCAGCACAAGGTTCGAACATGCGGATTGACTGATTTCAGGTTTATTAGCACTGTTTCTCCTGGGAGTGACATTTCCTCTTTTTATTGGGTGAGACAATTTTTTTCATTTTAATTTCCATAAATTAATCCATCATAGATCTATAAAGGATTTTTAAATCTTCAGATTAAAAAGACAGGTTAGAATTCAGAAAGTAAACACAGTAAATTTGTCACTAAAGACCAGGCAATGAAAGTCAGCCAAATCCAACTCAACCATCTGCACAAAACTGAGTGAGCATCAAAAGCTAAATCATCGGAGAGAGAAAAAGTTATTTTACTTAAGATAAAATTATAACAATACTGAAATACTTGACATCCTATATAATAAAAGCCTAATAAGCAAATTGACCAAACAGTGGAATGACCAGTGGAACAAACAGTCGCTATGACGCGCACTGACCACTAGGGGGGCATATGCTCAACGCAGGAGCTGCCCCCAGCCCACAGGCCCAGGCCAGCCAAGGCGGGTGCCAGCGGGGGCCCCTGACCGTCCCACAGTCGCCCTACAGATTGACCCTGATTGCCAGCCAGGCCTAGGGACCCTACCCATGTATGAATTTCGTGCACCGGGCCTCTAGTTAGATTATAATACTGTTCCTTGTTAACTAGATTGCCTGTTGAAGGTTTGTCTGCAAATTGTCTATAAATTTATAATGTGTAATCTTGAAGTCTGATTTTCTTTTTTAAATTAGTGCTCTGAGGATCTTTCACATAAACTACTCTTCCTTTATAGAGGCTGAAATGTACCATATTTGAACAATAGAAACCATTAACAATTCCTGAAAATGTACATTATGTTTCCATACCTACTGTCACTACATAGTGTAGCTTATTTGTCTCGATATGGGACTTGTATTCTGTCATGTCCATGACAACTGTTACTATATATGAAGGTGCTCTCCAATCTCAGGTCTGATTTGCTATTACAGTAAAACCTAATTATGATCTGGAGAATGGTCATATTCAGGGGGAAAACACTCTCAGCAAGAGGTTTTTGTTTGTTTGTTTTTAACAAACACAACCTATCACTTCAAGTTTATAAGATATACACAGACAAAGACAAAAACCATTAGGCAGTAGTCCTGCTAAACGTTAATGTATGCAACAATGATGTATTATTTTAACAATATTGCCCTGGCTATTTGCTCAGTAGTTAGGGCATGCATCTGCAGACACAAGGGTCAAGGATTTGATTCCTGAACAAAGGCATTGTACCTCAGTTGCAGGTTCCCCAGCCCCGGTAGGGGCATGTATGGGAGGCAACCAATAGATGTTTCTCTCTATCTCTCCTCTCCTTCTCCCTCCCTTCCATTCTCTCCAGAAATCAGTGGGAAAAATATCCTTGGTGAGGATTTAAAAAAGGAGAATATTAAACATCTCCTTACAAATCTACACTAATAAAAGAGAAACATGGTAATTAGCGTGTGACCGCTACCCTTCCCATTGGCTAATCAGCATATCCTTATGCAAATTAACTGTCAGCCAAGATGGCGGCCGGCAGCCAGGCAGCTGGAAGCGAACATGAGGCTTGCTTGCTCCAGTGACTGCAGACTCCAACGTTCCCCGCCTGCCTTGCCGGCCTCTGAGCTACAACTCTAAGAAACTATGTTGCAAATATAGAAGCTAAACAAAACCTCAGAAACCAGCTTTCAGCCAGCCGGGATCTCAGAGCTGGAGTTATACATTGTTTCGATTATAGAACGCTCAGCAGCGGAAGCCTCAGAGCTAGAGCCAGAGCTAAAGCTGGCCCAGAATAAAAAAAAGAAAAAAGAAAAAAACGAGTGGTTGGGAGCTTCAGTCAATTGCCAGCCTGAAAGCAGCCCTCAGCTCCTCACCTAGACTGGCCAGGCACCCCAGTGGGGACCCCCACCCTGATCCAGGACACCCTTCAGGGCAAACCAGCCAGCCCCGAGGCCTCTATCCTATATAGTAAAAGGGTAATATGCCTCCCAGCACCGGGATCAGCGTGACAGGGGGCAGCGCCCAAACCCCCTGATCGCCCTGTGGCTCTGTGTGTGACAGGGTGCAGCGCCCCAACCCCCCACCCCCACAGGCCCTGCTCTGTGTGTGACAGGGTAGAGCCATAACCTCCCCATCGGCCCTGCCCTGAGTGTGAGAGTGGCGGCACCCAACCCCCTGATCGGCCCTGCTGTGTGTGTGACAGGGGGCGGTGCCCTAACTCCCCTGTCGGCCCTACTCTGTGAGTGACAGGGGGGAGCTCCTCAACCCCTTGATGGGCCCTGTTCTGTGTGTGACAGGGGGCAGCGCCCCAACCCCCTGATTGGCCCTGCTCTGTGCGTCACAGGGGGTGGCGCTGCAACCTCCCCATGGACCCTGCCTTGAGTGTGATAGGGGGCAGTGCCCCAACCCCCCAATCAGCCCTACCTTGAGCGTGACTGAGGGCGGCATCGCAACCTCCCAATCCGCCCTGCTCTGTGCATGACAGAGGGCGGCGCCCCAACTCCCCAATCAGCCCTGCTCTGAGCCCGACCAGGGGCTGCACCTAGGGATTGGGCCTGCCCTCTGCCACCCAGGAGCAGGCCTAAGCCAGCAGGTCGTTATCTCCTGAGGGGTCCCAGACTGCGAGAGGGCACAGGCCGGGCTGAGGGGCCCCCCCTTCCCCCCCGAGTGCACAAATTTTTGTGCACCGGGCCTCTAGTTTATTTATATTATAATATTACTACTCATTTAGCAGCTCCTTTGCTCTTTTAAAATAAAAGAATATATCTAATCCACACCAAATGATCATCTATTATTGTTGATACTATTATATGTTGATAATTAAAGAGACCTAACTATATTTATAGAGAAAAAAATGATTTCAACAATTGACTTACTAGAGTGGGTTTGTATATAATTAAGAATATCCTAATTATGCTAACCAAAATAAGCCAGTCAGAGGAAGATAAGTGTACATGATCTCACTCATATGTGGAATCTAATGAATAAAATAAACTGATGAACAAAATAGATCCAGATACATAGAAGCATAGAGCAGACTGTTGACCCTCAGAGGGAAGATGGGGAAGAGTGGGTGGGTGGGAAGAGATCAACCAAAGAATTTCTATGCATATATGCATAGCCCATGGACACAGATAATAGGGTGGTGAAGGCCTGGGGTGGGGGGTGAGGACAGGCTAGAAGAGGTCAATGGGGGGGGGGGGAAGGAAGGGGCATTTGGGAAACTTTCAACAATAAAGATTTCAAAAAAATAATATCTATCACATCCTTCTAACAGGCATTTTTCTAATAGGAAAGAGGTCAAATTATTCCATATATAAGCCCTCAACTAACTGGCTCTGTGCTAACACCTCTCAAGGAAGAATAACAAAAAGACTACAGAGCATTTTTCAACATAAAAGGGTTATATCCCTATAAACCATGAAAGAATACAAGATTCTAGGTAACTAGAAGTCATGGTTGCTTGAAAACCATGGCCAAGAGGTTCAATCACTTGAAATAAGTTGAGTCTTAAACTTCCCTTAAGTTTGTTATGAAGGGCCCTTAAATGAATCAGGTACCCATCTGAACACAAATGAAATATTCAAAAAGCCACAGTCAAGTCAACATATTTTCTGCCATGGTCAGAGGATACCTGTTGGTCCAAAAGTTATGAACTCAATGATTAGGAAATGCCTTGTGAGGTGGTAAGCTCCTCATCTCTTGAGGCATTGAAGCACAGCACAGCCAACCACTTGCTGGAGGTCTTATGAGGTCAGGAGAACGAGTCAGGTGGGTTGGCTGGTTGATCTTTAGCATTGCTTCTAAACCTGAGATACTATGATTTCTATAAACTTTGAAAGATATATTGATCCCTCATTGATGTCAAAGTAATTTTAGGCTCAATTCCTTTCCCAGATTTTCATATGAAGTACCTATTAAGAAACATTTCTTTTAAATCCTCACCCAAGGATATTTTTTTTCATTGATTTCTAGAAAGAGTGGAAGGGAGGGAGTAGGGGGAGACAGAAACATCGATGCAAAAGAGACACATCAATTGGTTGCCTCCCATACATGCCCTGACTGAGGGCGGGGAACCTGCAACCCAGATACATGCCCTTGACCCCAGAATCAAACCCGGATGGACCCTTTGGTCCAAGGCGTGATGCTCTAACCACAGAGCAAAATTGTCCAGGACAATAAATATTATTTTTCTAAGCATGGAGGAATGCTTCTATTCTTACTCATCCTAGAAATTAACCTACCTTCTTCATCGGAGTTAAAATTATTTTAGCCTATCGATATTTTATGAAAAAGCACTTATCTCCAGACAGGATTTCTGTTGTGCTGTTTTTTCTAATTCAATATTCTTGTTATTTGAACTTAATTTCCATAAAAGCCTTTTATTACTTTGCAATTTAGGAGACTTACACTTAATTTTCTCTGATTCCTATTCTACAAGCTCTCCCCAGAAATTCATATCTGGCTATATCAACTATACACATCACAACCTTGCTATTACAGGCATCCTTCAGAGACATTTCAGGTTGGGTTCCAGAGCCCTGCAATAAAGCAAGCCACAGGTATTTTTTGGTTTCCCGATACATATAATAAGTATAGTCTCATAAGTGTGTAGTAGCATTATGTCTAAAAAAACAATGTACATACTTTAATTAAAATATTTTATTGCTAAAAAATGCTAACCATCATTTGAGCCTTCAGGGAGTCAATCTTTTCGCTGGTGGATGGTCCTATGAAAAACAATACCTGGGAAGAGCAATAAACAGAGCCCAATAAAATGAAGTATGTCTGTTATTTCATGGAAGACTTCTCTCTGCAAAGAGTCTAACACATATCAGACCTTGAGACATATACGAATTTCCAACGCCCTGCAGAAGCTCCCAGTATTCAAGAATTTAACTGCTTTTTCTGACTGAGTAACTTCTTTTTTAAAATTACCTTTTTCCTCGCTTGTTGTTCTTTGGAAGAATGAGCCTTCACATGCTTTCTTAGGGAACTTGGGTCTGTGTAGCGTTTGGTGCATCCTGGAATCTGACAAGCATAAGGTTTCTAAATAAGAAAGACAGAAAGAAATGGCTGTGGTTAAATCCTAAAAGTAACTGGGGAAGGTCTACTCAAAGACTTATTTATTGGCTTCAGAGCATGAGCGATTACCAACCGACTGATATGAAATATTGGGTAATACTTGGACATTTTCATGAGAAAGCCCAGTAAGTTTGCATCAAGGCAGAAAGGAGAGTAAACTTTCAAGAAACAAAGAGACTGCCTATCTTTGATGATTTTTAAGAGATTGCCATAGAATGCACTTTTACAGGAATCTCTTGTGGCATTTTTTAAACATGGAAATTATTATTAAACATCTCTGGTCATACTTACAGTTATGTTCCCCTGAAAACAGTCATTGGGACTGTCAGAAACTAGGAAACACATATTCTTTAAGAGTTCAGGTATAAAGAAGCTGTAGAAAAGTCCAGAAAAGACTGGGAATGTTTCAGAAGAAACCTGATTCAGAAAGAGAGAGGGAGAGAATTAAAAGGGAAAATTAGTAGAAAATGAGTAGGAGACAGATTTCAAACAACAGACACATGAAAAATCAGCCAGAGGGACATTAATGGTATTAGTTGTAGAGAAGTCATGGTACTAAGCCTGGGGTATGTGAATAAGCCCTTGGTTGAGTGTGACGAGAACAGAAGTTTTGCTACTCCTTTCCCTCCTGCTCCTGAGCAATGTGAAGTGTGGAGCTTAAGGCTAAGTCTAGAATCCTTTTTATTTTTGTACTGTAAAATTATTTCCGTTTGGGTATTCATATGCTAACAAAAAACTGAATTAAAACTATTCAGGGTTAGAATTATGAACTCAGTAATCTTTATGGGAAAACCATTTTTCCTGTAAGTAAAGAATCCACTTAGTGAAGAAAGGTATTTTATCCAAAATTCTGACAGCATTTAGCATAAGGAGTACTTACTGAAAGAGAACGAACACCTAAATTTAAATAACAAATTCTTTCAGCAACTACAGTTTGCTCTTTAAAACAAATGTTTCATTTCTATATGATTTTAAGAGAGCACATCAATTTGTTAAACACAATAAAAATTTAAACCATAGTAGTTTGGATCTTAAAAGTAAAAATGATGACTTCAACAAAATAAGACCCAAAGCACAGAGGTATGGAACAGACTGACATACCTCGATGTGAAGAGGTATGAGGGATGAGAAGAGATAAACCAAAGAACTTACATACTTATATGCATAGCCCATGCACATGGCAATAGAGTAGTGAAGACCTAGGGGAGTGGGTAAGGGCTGGGAGGAGTGGGGGGAAGAGAGAAAATGGGAGATATCTGTAATACTATCAGCAATAGAAAATACATTTTAAAAATATTTAATAAAGAAGTGATTTTTAAAAAATAAAAATAGCTGAGTTTTAAAAGCTACTGCATCGCACTGAATCATAAAATCATTATCTTAGGTAGCTTTCCTCAAAAGTTTTAAAAAAGGATATTTTTTAAAATTCCAAAATGATTTTAGAAAATGCTCTGAAGTTTGATTAGCTAAAATTAGCTCCAAAGAAGGGTATAGTAGAACCCTAACATTTAGCCTCACAATAGTTCTTTCAAACTACAGATAACTAGCTAGAGTAGAAGCAATTTCTCAAGACAATCTTGTCTCATGAATGTTCATTCTTCCATGATAATGTTTAATGATAAATTGAAAAATTTATTGGATTCTACCCAGACCATTTTAGACATACAAAACAGGGCATTTTTTAACATAATATATTCTTTTTTCCTATTTCTACCTTTAAAAAAATACTGCTATTCACCAAATTTATTCATTTAATATTCTATTCTGTTGGTCCTAAAATCACTTAATTCAATTCAGCTGGAGCAGGAAGGGTCAATCTTATATCCATATTACTCTAATTATATTTCAGATATTTACTAGGCAAACCATCACATTTATGTATATCAGGAGATAATTCTGTTTAGAAAGGTTATGTGACATAGTTAAAATGACTTTTATCAATATGACTAATAGAGGCTAATATAAAATTTAATAAATATGTCAACTATAACATCAGAAGAATATTAAATATGTATGAGAAGGTGTGTAGAAATCACAGTATCTTTTCGAAATTCAAATCCTGGTGTAGTTTAATAATAGACATCAGAATGTTAACACTGAAAAAGTACTGTCATGAATACATTATTTGCAAGAATGTGGGATAAGAGATCTGTGATGTGTATAATGCATTTATCCTGATGGTTTTAAGTGAAGTGAAATTACATATAGTCTACCTGGCCTCATATAAGGAAAATGCATCAAAACCTGAGAAATGCAAAGAAGAACATTCAACATAATTGAGAATATAAAAGCAAGTGTGGAGTCTAGAAAAGACATTTGTAAATGCTCTAAGAAGGTGTGATAATGAAAATCATAAAACTGAGCCTGGGGAAAGAGCTGCTGATTCTTTTTAGATTAGTTAAAGGTGAAAATACCAGCAGGTTTCTAAAGCAAAAGGCCACATTCACTCTCAAAACCCATGCCAGCCTCCACATGTTTATGTCAAGAAGAAAAGAACCAGAATAAGAAAAAAAAGGTACAGTTGTTGGTATGGAAAATAATAATACAATAATTATTAAGTAATAATACAAGAATAAATTGTTTCGCGTGCTCACGACTGTAAACCTACTTTTGCCACACCCTGTATATTGTGTGTCTTAGTACATTTTGATATTTGAATACTTAATTTAATGCCCAATCTGTAGTGGTCATTCTCTGTACTAAAATCTACTCTATGACAGCCCTTAAACTGCCTCTGCTTTGGACACAGAGGTTACCAAAGAACCCCTTAGTCCCAGGCAGCTGTAATATTTAGGATACTCATAACTACAGAAAAATGAGGAAAGAGCCAAACAAGGCCCCTCTGGCTCTTTACCAGGTTCCGTTGCTGCCCTTGGCATTATCCCTGTAACCTGCAGGCCATAAAGCAAACACCTTCACCATCCCACTATCTAAAGGGCACTTCCTCACACCGGGCTTCGGGCTGAAAGTTGGAAAGCTCCTGCCATTCTTACAGTGTCCAGATGCGTCCTCTGGTGCTTGGCACGGTCGCTGGAGTTACTGAACGCCTTCTGACAGCCCGGATGCTGGCACAAGTAAGGCTTCTCGCCTGTGTGACTCCGCAAGTGAATCTTGAGATTTTCGAGCCTTGAAAAGGCCTTCTTGCAACCTTCAAACTGCAGAGAGAAAACAATTTGGGGTTGTTGAAAAGGACTTTGAGAGCTTGAGTTTGAGGGACAGAAAAAAGTGTTCCTAGTTTGTACTTAGCCTAAAACAAAAAATAAAATCCAAACAGTAACAAATATTACTTCTAAATATATCTATATGTTTATGTAAACTGCACTTTTCCACTCAATATACATGCCACTTTCTGTATCAGACTTGGGTCCCAAACTGAATCCTGTGATTACTTAAGTCAGAGAGAATTCACTGTGAGCCATCTGGCTCAGTTAATAAAAATACAGTAATGCGTGTCTTAAAGACTTATTAAAAAATTAACATACTTTTCCATTTCCAAATTGGTTTAAATTGAAGGAACCAGGAAGGAAGAAACTTTTTACAACTAATAAACTAACAAGAAAAATTAGAGTGATGTATGAGAAAAAAAGTGAATTGAAGATCCAAGAGTTCAAGATGAAAAAGGTATGTGTCATTGAGTTATTATGATCATAAACTTGCTTAACTCTATTTTAAGGGGTTTTCCAACTCCCAAAAGATTGAACTTGTTAAGGGTAATGCCAAGCCTAATGAGATACAGTTTTTAAACATGCTTTCAAAATGGTTCTAAAAGACATTTAATGCTAAATAATTTTCCTAATAAAGTAATGGTTTTATTTATTTTCATTTTTTTAAAAGAAATTTGGTTACCTAGTTCAAGAAGAGAAGAACTGAAAATGAAAGACTGGCAAGTTCAAGAAATGCTTCATTGGTTTATCAATAATATTTACTTATAGTAATTTTTACATAATGCCTTCTGTGGGCAAAATGTCAGCCACCATTAGCTGGTCAAAGTGATTCCAATCCTTGAAATGCCAATCTCATAAAGAAGGTGTGTTAGAGCAAGCCTATAAAGGAAGCATAAAGGTGAGATGGGCATTTTTATCCTTTAACTCTCTTATTGGTGCTAAGCCCCAAAATATTTGTCACTTTGACAATTTTAATAGCTTTAGAATTTCCACTGAGAAACTTATGAATATGGGAAAAATTAATCAGAACAAAGCATAATATGTTTACAGCAATTAAGAAACCACACTTCTTAGAGAGGAATGCGTGTATGAGGAGGGGTATAGGGAGCACAGAATCTAAGCAAAAGTAAATACTAGATGGTTTCCATTCAAAATTAGCAGGTATTACCTAACCTTACTTCAAGATCTTTCATGAAACTCTTTGGTTCTCTTGCTTATTACATTAGATGATGGAGTACATTGTTCATGAAGGGATGATCCAGAGCTGGCCAAGTTTTAGTTATTTGAATTTTCATTTTTAATGAAGGACGAACTAATGAGAAAAGATACTCAAACATGTCATAACTCCATCTTTTTAAGTTGTCCAGATTTTGTATGCTGAAGTATTTTAAGAAATATATGAAAGTTGCACTTATTTTTTGATTGAGAGTTATACATGTTTCATAGACATATGTTGGTTTATTTCAATTTTTATATTTTGCTTAAAATAATTTTGGTGTTTTCCTGATTTTTATAACTTTAGCCTGAACAGAAAATGATTGCTGACGAAGTCAACTACTTTTACAACAGAGTGAAAGATAGAATGCTATGTCGCTAGGGGAAAGGAGTTAAATGGCTTATTGCCACAGATTTTCAATTAGGTCACAAGTTTGAGAATAAAGGTGCTCAAAGTTAACCCCCAATTCATAGCTAAGAGGCCTCTTTTGACCAAACCTCTGTTTTTAAGGTTCTCTCTGAATGACAACTTACAGCAAACTCTTGGAGCTCAGATTATTTTACTTGGAATCACTTGATGGACCACACTTAGGTCTAAAATGAGCCTGTGGTTTTGAGCACATCAAGCCTGTAGCATATTTCATACCAAGGCTCTTTTGTAGGTGGACACCATTCTGGGGCCAGTTCCAGGGGTGCATACCCAGACGTGGGAAAGCCCCAGCATCCACTCCCTTCTGCAGTCCCCAGATCTTGGTAAAAGAACAGGCTGCACTGTTTCAGCACCAACATGGGAGTGGAGAGCCACTTGAGAATAGATTAATAGGTTTTTGTGAGTATTGGACAAACAAGACCCCTGGAGCTACCATGAAGTGATTAGAGCAGTGATGGCGAACCTATGACACACGTGTCAGAGGTGACATGCGAACTCATTTTTTTGGTTGATTTTTCTTTGTTAAATGGCATTTAAATATATAAAATAAATATCACAAATATAAATCTTTGTTTTACTATGGTTGCAAATATCAAATGTTTTCTTATCAAGGTTCCTAAAGTGCAAGGTCCCTCCTGAGATTTAAGGTTAAAATCATCACTTGATTGCTCGTGTTACTGTCACCAACCAACACTGACACAAAAATTGACCAATATCCTAGTATTAGGTCCTTTCCTACTGGACTGGCTATGGAACCCAGAACTGAGGGCCCAGTGACACACAACTAGATGAACAGGCCTGAGGTTGCCTGTAGTTCAAACACAGACCCTATATGAGAAGACAACAAACAGATTCTCAGCATCCAGCAAGATAGCAGAAGGAGGTAACATGGGAGGGGAGTGATGGTGGGCAAGCATCTGGTATACATTAGTAATTTCATCTAAATAGCATTACTCTCCTCCCTCCCCCCAACTAATACTGAGTAAGCCCTATGAGTGTGGCACTATGTGTTAGGTATTGGGGGGATCAAGATGAATACAATGCAAATGTCGCTCATGGAAGATGGAAGCAAAGCCTGGGCAGGGCACATACTGGTGAACCTTGAGCAGCGATTCTCAAAGCTGGTGCACCTCCGTCTGCCTCATCAGCATGCCCTGGGAACTTGTCGGAAATACAAATTCTCTTGTCCCGCCCCAGAATTATAGAACAAAACCCCGGTTCTGGGGCCCAACATCTGAGTGTTAACAAGCCCTCCAAAAGATTCTGATGCAACAGTGTGCCAGTGAGTTAGGAATGCCATTTATTGTAATCACTGTCGGTTTTCTTACGAAAATCTCCTGACAGCAGTGAGTGTCTCTCGGGATTTACCCATTTCTAATTGGGACAAGAGTCCATGGACTAGCAGCAGCGCTGGACTGGAAAGGAACATCTCCAGTCCAGGGTTGGACAAGGTTATCTCCTCCTGCACAGCCAATGGGACAAAATCTCAGAATGCCCGTCTCATACTAGGAATTCTTTAAACTCCCCACACTCTTTAATCTGCTGCCAGGCAGATGTCGGGTTCTGAAATAGGTAGGGCTACAAGTTCCCTCTGTGGCATCCTTACCACAGAACATCTCACGTTTCCAGCGCCCACTGCAGTCCCCCTATTGAGAAAAAGCACTGAGGGGAGCCATCATTTTCCATTTGCACATTTCAGTGGCTCTACAGACACATAAGAGAATAAAACATAAGACTGGAAGTGACAGAACTTTAAATCTCACTGGGTCTGAAAATACTGCGTTGCATGAAGCCTCGCTCTAAGAAATATCTCTTTAAGTCTGTGGCTGTTTTCAAGTAACCAACTTTAATTAATAAGTATAAGTTGCTTTAAACCTTGAGAACCCGAGCTTGCATCACTTTGCTAATTCAGGAGATTATTTCATATTTAAAGGATCACAACGGAACGGTAATCACCATCTCTATATATTGGCTTGATTACAGATTGTTGACATTAGGTGGCATTACGATGACCTTTGAAATATTACTTTCCCTTTCTATTAGATGCTTTTGTGTAAAATCCTGAAACTGAAAGGCTCATTAGACACCATTAAAATAGGATTTATTCCATATGTGTAACCAATAATCAAGGAGAATATTACTCGCTCCCCTAATCAGCTACTTAGAGTGCTGAGGAGCACAAGTTCATATTCAAAGTAGTAATAATAGCAAACCTTTCCTGATCAGGTTTCTATACCACTAAAGTCAACAAAATCCAAACAGAAAGGAGTCTATGATGCTGGACATGCTTTTAAAAATATACATTTGATTTCAATGGAGGCTCAGTGTTTATAACCCTTGGAAGTATAAGTTTTACAATTTAATCAGTCAAGACCAATTAATCCCATTAGTGATGGCTGATACCATGACATGCTGGGCAGTGCCTGGAAGTGGGTGATGAATTATATGTTAATTTACTCTTCCACTTAAATAGCCTAAAGACAACAGCGATGAAAGGCAATGGTGGAAAGGTCAGCAAATATTTCTAATGCAGTGGATAGAGCCAAGGCGACTTCCACAATAAGCCCAAGAATTCAAGTCCACTTGAATCATGGACGTACCTGCAAAAGGTGAAAACAAATGATCGCCTCTCCTGTGACTCAGAGAGGCCAAAGGAATAGCTAAGGACCAAGGGCCACCTCACAGACCTGAGAAGAGGTGAGAAATCTGACTCACGTTTTTAGCTGAGATTTAGAAGTGCCCTTCTGGGAGGGTGCCTCCCAGCATTATGTACTCATGAATACCCTGGAATCTTGTTAAAATGCAGATTCTGATTCATAGGTGTGCCCTAGGGCCTGAGATTCTGCGTTTCTAACAATCTCCTAGGTCCGTGGTCGGCAAACTGCGGCTCACGAGCCACATGGAGCTCTTTGGCCCCTTGAGTGTGGCTCTTCCTAAGCCTTAGGAGTACCCTAATTTAGTTAATAACAATGTACCTACCTATATAGTTTAAGTTTAAAAAATTTGGCTCTCAAAAGAAATTTCAATCGTTGTACTGTTAATATTTAGCTCTGTTGACTAATGAGTTTGCTGACCACTGTCCTAGGGAATTCTCTAAATGTTGAATGTTTGAAGTTACACTTTGAGAAGTAATGTTCCAGGGATCATTAACTCTCCTCAGGTTGAAACGTACAGTTTAATGAGGTTTTTTAAAAATATGTTTTTATTGATTTCAGAGAGGAAGGGAGAGGGAGAGAGAGATAGAAACATCAATGATGAGAGAGAATTATTGATTGGCTGCCTCCAGCACACCCCTCACTGGGGATTGAGCCCAAAACCTGGGTATATGCCCTGATCAGGAATCGAA